AATTTTGTATGGAAAAAAACAACTTAATTTCGCTGAAACGAAGATGAAATAAAGATTTTTGTGAAATTAAGGTGTGTCTGAACATAGTAGGTATAACGAAATCTTGCGCAATAGGTTCAATTTAAGAAATATATAAATTATTTATTGTTATATAATAATACTAGTTTAAAGCCAAAATATTTAAAAGACGAAGTCTACATTTTTTTATAGTAAAATTTTTCTTGAAATATCACTCTGCATATGTACCCATAACCATTTTTAGTGAAGTTACCTCATACAGTATTGAATATCTAATAAATCATGAAACTTATACGAATATTCTAAATTACGTGAATGTGATTTAATTGGTTTAGCTGCTATAGTTAAAAATCTACAGATGGAAAACTTTTTTTACGCCTTTTTCAATTTTTTCTATTTTCAATGTGATGGGACTCTCACCGAAAATTTTTTTTTGAATGGTGTTAAAGACTTTTAATACAAACTTTTTAAATGCCTAAACATAATAATCCAATAAAAATTTCAAAACTTATACGCCATATTCCAAATTTGCCAAAATTTTCCAAAAATTAGTGGTTTTTATTAACAAGTCAGAAAAATTATTTTATCAATATTAAATACTTACTTAAATAGCCATAATGCTCGTTATCACATTTTGATCTAAAACATTATATCTCTCCAGGCGTCTTTGTTGCGTGTTCCAGACGCCTCCCAGTCTCGTACGTCAAGCGCAGTTAGTGATCCCTCAACATGATTACTCCACCAGTGCTTCTTTATCATTCTATGATAGCGTCCATGCACATTTCTACCAGTACCCGATGTATACCGTATTTTGCATTCATTCACCGCTACTCACATTTTTGCAGATTTATTTAATTATACATACTTGCCACATAAGCTAATAGTGTTTTGTATTAGATGCTGTCACATTTATCAATAAATTCGCAACGAAATTTGAATTAAAGTATTTGTAACTATATTACTTATATTTGTTTTTACTGAAACCTTCCACTTTTTGAAACAATTCACACACTGAACTTTATTCCTTTAATATAGTTCATACCCTGCATTTTTATTTTTGCAAATTTTGAACGTACCCTCTGTATATTAAACCGCCTATATAAACCGATTTTTGAACCGAGCCAATGATTTAGCTGCAGAAATATATCGGATCACAATCCTGATTTTTACTTATTGACAGTATCTTTAATATTAAATATTCGCAAATGTCGAAATCTCTTAACAAAAGATAAGCTTTGCGACCTAAATAGATTTGTTGTAGTGAAAGCATGTCCTTATCAAAGATGTCGATCTTTCATTTGGCTAATTTTTTATTTATTTTCGTAGCAACAATGTGTTTAGTAATGTAGATATACTAAAAGTGCTATCTTGCTATATTTGTGTAATTTGCTAAAGTTACTAATTTCAACATTTTAATACGCAGTTTAATTTTATTGGAACTAGTGACGATGTTCAGTCATTGAACTGAGAGAGTCTAATTGTTACACATTAGTGTGCAAATGTCGTTTTATTGGATTTATCGTATGTTAATTATCATGATTGCGTCCGAAACAACGCCTTGGTTACTAATTTATAATCGCAATTGAAGGATTATAATTTTTTAATGGGTAGAACAAAATTTAATTCTATGAGCAAGTAATTACAAATCAGTATAATAGCTAACTAACAAATTGTTATGTATTGTTTCGATTAGATTAATACCGAAAGATCGATGAAACATCTACGAATACGCAAAGAGGTATATTTTAGTTGGATTAGTGATGACAGGTTTTTTGAAATTTTCAAAAATATAAAATTATTACCTCTGATTAAGAATATTTGCAAGAATACCATGGTATTTGAAATGAAATATTTTTTGAATATAATTTAGTAATTATTAAATGTGTTTAACCGTCCAAGTAAATATTCATTTAACTCTTTTTTTTCAAAAGAAAAAGGTTATAAATTATGATCAAATATTAAACTCTGACTAAACACGCTTTTCCTGAGTTTCATTTTACATTAAATTATTAGAATTCATGGAAAGTTGCATTGCAACTCAGTGTGATACTTTTTCATTCATTTTCTGGTGAAAAACTAATGAACAACAATAACATAATAAATAAAAATAATTAAAAGAAAGTATTTAGCAACAGCGTAAAAATAAATTAAAATTACATTAAAAGTGGAGTTTCGTAATTAGAAAAATGGAGGGTGTGCATGAGATGTAGGAGTTGAGAGTGGCACGCACATATAACGAAAGGGCTCAAGCTCTGAAAATCCCATAAATTATAACTGAGAGACTACAAAAGGACGAAAAAATGGCGGTGAATCAAGGAAAAATGCATTTGAAGCTAAGCAATATTAGTAGTAGCTGCTTTGCTAAGAGAGAGGGGGTAAATATTATAAATTAAAAAAGTAAATTTTATTGTTGGGTGCGTTTAATTAAAGAGTTGACTCCAACAGTGAGGTTAATTGAAATATAATGGCTGAAGAATTTTATTATTTGATAAACAAAAAAACATATTTAGTTTTATTCTCAACGAATAATGTATTTTTTTATTTACCAAAACATATTTTTATATATATTCTGTATAGAAATTATCCATTATAATTAAAGTAAATAAAAAAAATCATTTAATAAAAATTTATTATGTGAAGTTTGTAATAAGCATTATCGACTGCATTACAACTATCTCAGCGCTTGATAAATTTTCCATTTTCCCATGTCCCGATGGAATTTGTCAAGAATGCCATAGTAATTGGTAATGATAAGTGATATATATGTGATATAACACGAGACGGAAGAAGATCGGCACAGAAGTTACAAGTACAATAAAAATGGAGAAAATCGCTATAAATTGTTGCCCTTTTGCTAACACTTTTCTTCGATTTAAAGGGAATAGTTCACATTGAATTTGGTAAGAAGGTAAGATGGTGAACGCAGAATATTATTTGAAATCGTGGGCGACAATTTATAGCGATAGACAAAAAAATCATACCAAATCTTGTTAGAAACTCTAGAAATTATACGACGTTCTTATAACGGGATTTGTTACATTTTAAAGGTTCTTCACATAAAATGACCCGTTTTACGGTTACATTTACTTTTTAGAGTGCTGTCATGTTTGCGGTAATTTTTAAAACTATTGAAGTATGTGCATATCCAAATCAAAGCAACTCAGCGAAATTGCATGGATTTACCGATATATTAACAAATATTGACTACATCATTCCAATTATACCTTTTGATAGCAAATACAAAACTCTTATTCTTCGTACGCAAGAATGGAACTCAGTAAATGTTGAATAATGGCCAGTCAAATTATATTTAAAACAAATGCTCAAAACTAGGAAAATAATGTGGGGTAAAATATTATATTTACTAGGCTATATTAGTCTTTTCTAAATTGAAGTTGAAGCCATCTAGGCAACAGGTAATTAAAATGGTAAGGTGCAATATGATTTTTTATAATAATTTATATATTTCATGCATAACTCAACTGTCAGGAAGTCACTCACACGCGTATAGACGAAATCAATATTTACCGGAACAATATTAAAATTGTAGAAATGATAAACTGATCAGATAAGTTACTTTTCTAAACCAAGATAACTCTGGTTGAAAATATATCACAAAACAACAAAGACTCTCCTAAGGAGTAGTTATTGTTTGGTATGTATGCTTGCTTTTAGGTTATGTTCCACCGGTAGAGACTTTTGCAGAAAGTTCAGGATTAATACATGTAGCAAGAATTTATCTCTTATATTGTCACAGTCTGGCCCTGTACTTTTGCAGAAAGTTCAGGATTAATACATGTAGCAAGAATTTATCTCTTATATTGTCACAGTCTGGCCCTGTTAATACAAATAATGAGTTCTTTGAGAGTATTAGGATATTTGTTTCGAGTTAGGATATCTGAGTTGGGTAAAGTTGACTAAATAGGTATGATAACTTTTGTTATACAGCAATAAAACGGAATGAACGCAATGGGTCAATGATTTTAAGTGGATTGCTAGAAGTTCCAGTATAATTTGTTCTAATCTAAAATTTGTAGAAGAAATGAGATAGTTTGTTTGAGTTGATAAAGGATTTAAGTTCAGAACCTATTTGGTATCGCAATATTGGCTGGGTCTGGCAAAATATTAATAATAATTAGCACTACGAATATACTTTCCTTCTTACTTTCAAAAATAAAATGAAATTCAAGTAATATTCAAATATTGAGAAAAAATTTTTTTTATTTCAAGTAGTTATTTTGTTCTTGGAAACATGAACATTCACGCTAATCTTCTGATATCTAAAGTAAGTTTAATGTTAATGTTTTTAAGTTAAGATTGTATTTAGTATGTAATAATAATATCTCAAGCTGATAAATGCAGATATATGCATTGTGGAGAGTATAATTCATCAAATCAAAATTATACCCCTTGTTAAAAAAAAT